AATGATTCTATGATTCTATGATTCTGTTGTTTTGGTCCTTGCACCTTCAGTACAGTTGCCCTGCAACTGCTTTGACTTGTTCCCCCAAGTTCAGAAGCATAAAGACTTTTTTCTGTGTCCTATGCTGAGCTATTCAGGGTTGAGTTCTTTAGCAAACTCGTTGAAGTGAGGTGTTAGCTGCAGGGCTGGAGGCAAAGGCTTGACATTTCTCGCCCTGTCTACTTATTTACTGGTATCCTGTTGAGAGTACAGGGAAAAACATAGGGAAAAAGAGGTAAGGAACCAGCCAAGAAAGAATTATCTTCAACTTCAAGTGAGTAAATGTGACATCTCTTGAGAGGAGCTTCCTACCTTACTCTGTTTTTTTGTTGCCAGGCAAGAATATGATGGTGGCGATATGGTTGCACTGGGACAGGTGTAGGATCCAATACCCCTGTGCTCTGTCTTCCTCTTGCTGTTACTCAGTGATGCATGTAATGCCTCTTGACTGCCCCTGTTAGTGCTCTGTAGGGCTAAGCATGTTAATACAGAGTCCCCTTCTGACTGTAATTTAAGCAAATGACTAGATTTGAATTTGCCATTATTTCAGCTGCTTGATCTTCAAGGCAGTAGCTTCATTTAGTTCCAATTTTGTATAGTAAATGGTGTCCTCCTCTGGATGAGAAATCCACACTTACATATGCCCTAAGTGTCTGAAATGGGCATTTATTCCTCTCCAACTGATCTTAAAAAACCAGTTAACAAGTGACCGAGGAACCCTTTTCTCAAAGTTAGTTATTCTTTTGGGATAAGCACCCTTAAAGTAGTAGAGAGTCACAGCTCTGTGAAACAGTGGAAGTTACTGCTGAGCTCATCTGTTCCTCCTCTCCCAAGCTCATGGTTATTTCAGACTGAGCACAGCCCCCTCCAGCCTTTTGCTTTCACTCCTCCCTCCAGGTCTATCGGAGCAGCAGTGATCACCTGTAATGCTAAGGGCATGCCTGCCCACCTTGCTGACAGTGCTACTGCCACGGACATTTCATGCCCCAACTTCTTAGAGCTGCTGCCCTTTGGGTACCAGGAATAGCAGGGGGGATTGTCAGCATGGTGGGAAGGGATCAAGTGAGCATCAGCTCCTGGAGCTCGTGTCCTCCTGCACAGCTCTTGCTGATGGCCACTGTTCGTGCAGCATTAACTGCTTGACATAGGTGTGAGGAGCTCTCCACACAGGACAATGCCCACCCCAGGACTTCTTTGTGCCACCAGATGTTGTTCTGCTTGATAAACTTTTATCTGAGCAGCTAAGGGAATATGATGTTTGTGGTGTGAGTGTGGCCTGTAGGCAGCAGGCCCTTCACTGTAGGCTGCAGTCTTGGTGATTGTCCTTCAGTGAAGTTTCCAGCAGTTTTCCAAGACTGGGAACTTCTTAAAGCATGAGTGGGATGCGTGTTCAGCACATAGTCCAAAATGGTCTTCTGACATGTCCCATTGAATTCTTGGGGTGAGTGGTCCTTTATTCACCAAGCTAGCCAAAGATATACCTGCATGCCTTTTGGCATGTCTATTTAAGCAGCGTATTCTGCCCTTCAATATAATTTGTTAACATTTTATCCTAAGGTTTGAATTTTGCTGGCTTGCTGATACAGCTGTGCAGGCAAAAACTTTCTGCTAAAAGAGACTTACAAACTCTGTCATTACATGATGCTCATGTTACAGCTTGCAAAGTTTGAAGCTTTTTATGGCAGCTTGGTAGAGAAATACAATTTGTTGGTGGGCCAAACTGCTCTTCTTCCTTTCCTTACTTCCCAAAACCCACACACTGCCCATCAGCTGAACATAGCTGACTTCTTACATGGGTGCTGTCTTCAGGGCAATGAAATGGGGAAGGTTGTTAACAATACAGGCCTGAGCAAGTCAGCTCGTTTGGCATCTGTCCCTGAAGACAGAAACGATAAATGCGTCATGTACTCATTATCAGAAAACACTTTTTCAGTCTCACTTTTGCAGAGTTTCATCTTAATATCAGCTGTGCACAATTGACTGAATTTGTCAACTGTCTGCAAAATTCTGCAAAGGTAGCATGTGTGTTTTTGTTGTAGATTACACTGCATCTGTGTGTATTCCATTGCTTTCTGTTTTGACAGTCATTAGAGCTGCTATCCTCATCCAGAATTGGTACCGCTTTACAATGGCCCGGCTAGAGATGAGGCGCCGCTATTCTCTGAGTATCTTTCAGTCAATCGAGTATGCTGATGAGCAAGATCAACTACAGGTTTGTAATCTTCCATTCTTCCTGTACAAGCAGTTATGTTATCCCCAGAGGCCTGAAGTTGCACAAACAAAATGAGTATGTCATTATTTCTCCCTATAAAGCTGTGTCCTATATAATAAAACCTCTTCCCTGCCTCACACATGAACTAAGTTTTATGTTTATGTACATATATATGTATATGTATATATACATTACTATATAAGCAGCAGGACACCATTCTGCCCATGCAACCATATCTAGGTTCAAGGTTCTGTGGAACAGCTGTGTTAGCCAGGGATTGCAGGTCATCCCACTATGGGTGATCTTAACCATGTCTGTGAGGCGAGGTATGTACAACAGAGATATCAGTGTCTCTGCATGTCAGCCTGGGCTTCCTTTGGGGTTGGTACAGGGAATTAGGAACTTCTAGGGCTTTGTGTTCATCCTAGCATCAGTGTCTAAAGTCAGTTTGGTGCATTGTAGCAGTATCTTTCTATTGATTGCAGACAAAGTCTAGGCAAATGGTCTGGATGATGGGCAAGATGAATTACACCTAAAAATGTCAGCAGCGTTGATACAGCCCTGGAACTTTTTGTGTATTCATATAGTGTCAATCTGCTAATTCACAGCAAAGAAGGAAAGGAGTAAGCCATTTTTGTAGTAGGACACAAGTTGTGTCATTATTGCATGCTGATGCTATGGGAACATACAGTAGTGTCTTAGATCCCCCTAAATGGGAAATTAATGCTGGTAATTGAGTAAGGAAGGACAATGTTAACGCTTGTTGGATCCCCTAAACTGATGAGTGTGTTGTTCTTTTCTTTTCCGTACTCAGCTAGCCAACTTTTTTACATTCATGCTGGATCACTGCACTCATCCTGATTCAGGTAAGGATAAATATCAAAGTAATATGGAGATTCTGTTTGAAAAACCTGATGTGAGGGAAGTTAATTTTCAATGTGATGTTTACAGCCTATGGCACGTGCTGGGGCTGAGGTTTGATTTCCCAAATACTGTAATAAGAATTTGATCCTGTGAGTGTTGACTCTGCTCAATATCTACTCAGTGAGTCAAGATGTAAGACAGAATAGATATGTGTTGTCCTTATGAGAATACTCAGAGGTGCTCAGAATGTTTTCTTGTATGTTACTGCCCTTAAGCTGTTTTCATGTGTCCTGGTTTCGGGTGGGATAGAGTTAATTTTCTTCCTAGTAGCTGGTGTAGTGTTATGTTTTGGATTTAGTATGAGAATACTGTTGATAACACACTGATGTTTTAGTTGTTGCTAAGTAATGTTTATACTAAGTCAAGGATTTTTCAGCTTCTCATGCCCAGCCAGCCGGAAGGCTGGAGGAGCAAAAGAAGTTGGGAGGGGACACAGCCAGGACAGCTGACCCAAACTGCCAAAGGGATATTCCATACCATATGACATCATGCCGAGTACATAAACTGGGGGCAGTTGGCCAGGAAGGGCAAATCACTGCTTGGGAACTAACGAGGCATAGGTCAGCGAGTGGTGAGCAATTGCATTGTGCGTCACTTGTTTTGTATATTCAAATTCTTTTATTACTGTTGTGGTTGTTGTTATTTCCTTCCTTTCTGTCCTATTAAACTGTCTTTGTCTCAATCCACAAGTTTTACTTTTTTTTTTTTATTCTCTCCTCCATCCCACCAGGTGAGGGCGGAGTGAGCAAGTGGCTGCTGTGTGGTGCTTAGTTGCCGGCTGGGGTTAAACCATGACATCATGGTAGTCTTACTGACCAGTTTTCACAACTTTCTATACGTGTTTTCTTAAACTGTGAGATGTGATTATCCAGAAAGACTGTGTCTAGTTGGTTTAGGGCAGATGTAATCAAAGAGGTTGCCTTCAAAGAAGTTGCTTCTTTTTCTTTCTTCTTTGTTTTTTCCTCCCTGAAGCAGTTCTGGCCCACTTTTAAATTTAATTTGTTCTAGATTTCACTGCAAAACATGTATCAGTATGTGAGTGATTAAAAGTTAAATAAATTTAAACTGCTGGAGAAAAATCTTTAGAAACTATCTCAATTAAAGCTCAGTTATTCAAAGAATAACCTTTAATTTTTGAAGTATTTTGGGCTCCTTGAACAGCACTTACATTTGAGGTCAAGCTCAACAGGGGGACAGACTGAAACTGATTCCTAAGTCCAGAAAACAAACATGACTTTCCCAAACAAATTGAGAATAGATCTAAACCCAGTGGAGTTAAAAAGGAGACCGTCCCCTTCTTATCAAATTACAAGAGAATGTCCTTTCTCTTTCATCTGACCCCACCATAGGTTATTCCAATTAAAATTTGCACAAGACACTTTGATAGCAGGATAAAACCACCATCAAAACAGTAAGTGGTTCAGCGTTCTAATGACAGCCATTAGAAATGGCAATTTTTCTCTCTTAGATACTTTAGGGTGCCTAATGCTCTGCAGAAAAAGAAATTATGTTTGAGCCTTGCTCCAAAGCCAAGGCAGATGATACAATAGTCCTTCCTTTGATTTTTTCCATTACCACTATATCCTGAAAAAAAATCTGCTTTAGTCATTTAACTTCCTGGGAAGGAATTGGCAAACTTAAATAAAATCAGACACTGCTCACTTCATCTCCTTCTTCTACATGCTAATAGCGTACCTGACTTCAGTTTTCCACCTGAGTGGGACAGAAGATAGTAGTGCTAGGTCTGAGATTTGGAAAAATAGTGTTAATCTCTATTTCATTATAATATTAAAAGGGAATTTTACAGCTGCCTGTTGTAGGTATGATTTATCCACCTTTATTAGCTGTGTCTATTGACAGAAGGGACAAAGGTGAGGTGCCTCAGGTGGCTTGCTAGGGCTCAGGACGTGGCTGGTACAGAGCACACTGCTACATGCATAGGCTGTTTGTGGGCTCTTGGAGATCTAGGCCCCACCTGTGCACAGGGAGGGACGGAGGGTACTGTGGGCTGCCCCTCATCACCACTGCACGGGTGACCTGCTGCTTGGTCTTGCAGATACTGGGAGCTGCGGCCGTGGTTAAGGCTGAAACGTGACAAAGTGTATGGTTTATGGTAAAGCTCTCCTTTGTCTTGCTTGCTTAAAACTTTCATCTGTTAGGACTGAAGTTGTTAAGACTTGATAACTGCTCCAAAGACTTTATTTTTGTCTTGGTTTGTTATTTCCCCCTTTCTAACACCCCGTGTTACAGATATCAGAACCCAAAATCAAACAGAAAGATTCCATAAGGTTTAATAAGGTTTAATAGAAAGGCAACTGAGACCGCCTATGCAAAGGAGCTGACTTAAGGGTTTTTTGAGAAATTGCATCTCAAATTTGTGTTGTGTGGTTTGTGGTTATGTTTGTCTGGTGCTGGCTGTGTGCATTCTTTACTTCACGCTCTTGATTGCTTGCCCCTCTAAGGGACCTTTGCAGCACCCATGCTAGGCCCACTGATTTAAGCAAAATCAGTGCTGAATAGAGTGATTCTTAATGAACTGCTTCCTCTTCTGCTGAATCACGGTCTTAAGATGTAAGGCACAGTCAGTGTAAACATAACAAGCAGAGAGGCTTCAAATTGGCTTTGCTATTCTCAAGCATTTTCTAAAACCTACGATTCTCTGGCTTTTTTTTTTCATCAGTGTATGCTTGCTTAAATTAGAGTGATAGCATATAGTTCAAAAGCCCTCTCCAAGAAGATAGTGTGTAATGTTCTTACCAGAGAATAGGTTGCCTGTTCTTCCCAGTATGTGATGAGAAAACTACTTGAAGATTTTGTGATCTGTATTTTTCCCATACATTATAAGCCACTCAGTCTCCACTATTCATCTTGTCACTTTCCTCTTTTTAATCTGCTTTGTTCAGAATATGTTTTTCAAAGAAAGAAAGCAGCCACCGTCTCATTAACACAGTAGTGGTTTTGATGTGATTGTTTATCTGTTGTACCCTGAAGCTTTTTTCATCCTCTCATTGTGCTTAAGATGTCAGTGCAGTTTAAGTTGTGATTGGGATATTATATAACTGTGTGTCTTGTTCCGCTTCTGATTAATGGCTATTTCCAAGGGTTTGTGGGAAGTAAGAATTAAAACTTTTTCCACCTTTTCTCCTTCCCTCCCCCCAAAAATCTGCATACCTACTCAGCCTTTCAATGGAAAAATCTCTGGTCAGAGAAAGCTGGAAGCTGCTTTTCCAGCAAAAGGTGACCCTTGTAGCAGCCTTCCAGGACCTAAAAGGGTCCTACAAGAAAGCTGGGAGGGTCTTTTTACAAGGGCACATAGTGATAGGACAAGGGGCAATGGCTTTAAACTGAAAGAGGGAAGATTTAGATGAGATATTAGGAGGAAATTCTTCCCGGTGAGGGTGGTGAGGCAGTGGCAGAGGTTGCCCAGAGAAGCTGTGGCTGCCCCATCCCTGGAAGTGTTCAAGGCCAGGTTGGATGGGGCTTTGAGCAACCTGGTCTGGTGGAAGGTGTCCCTGCCCATGGCAGGGGGGGTGGAACTAGGTGATTCTTAAGGTCCCTTCCAGCCAAACCATTCTATGATTTACTCACTCTTTTGTGGATGCATTTAGGGTGAGAAGGCTGCAAACATGTCCTTGGCAAAGTGGTGGGACTGGGAGTCCAGGGCACCCCTGGCTGTGCCTCTCAAGGTCACCAGAGCCGGAGCCACACCTCCTGCAGCCTTCCTTCAAAAGGGGGCAAAATGTGCTGTCTTCTGCAGTTTCACTCCCCATGATGTCTACCTTACAGCATTAACACCCTTCCAAGGCTTTTTGCATAGAGTGATTCTTGCAGTGGGGAATAAATCACAGCTGCCTGCAGTTTACAGCACCAGGAATGGAGTGAAGGAATTAATATTTGGAGCATTATAGAAATCTTCATCCTCTTAGTAAGCTCAAGATCCCTCTGGCTTTGACCTACTGGCTGGGGATCAGTATCTGGCAGATGTAAGAGCACTCTTCAGGAGTCAGAGGTGCTCTCAGGTACCCCAACGCTTAGTCTGAAGGTGCATGGATCATGGTAGAACAGAGAGTTCATTTCAGAGCTGCAGAAGTTGCTCATTCCCTGTTACCCTAATCGTGAAGTACATCCTTGACAGTGGCATCTTTGACTTGCCTTGAACAACTCCCATGGCAAGGTGGTCCTGTCAGGAGAACCAGGTTTGTGGGCTTTCTGTGGCCAAACTAACTCCACGTAGCTCTGGGCTTTTGTGTTTAACGTGGAATATGGCTATTGTCCTGGAAGGTAGTTGTATGGGCTCAACTCACTGAGCTTGGGCTAGACCTCTGGTGTCAGAGTACAAAGCAGGTCATTCCCTGTGCTCCCTGTAGTCAGTGGAGAGATGCAGATGCTGACAGAGAGTATTTCATTCTGTCTTAAGACATATGCCTGAACTAGGCACGCTGAGAGTTTTCGTCCCTCTCTTTAAGTATGGACTGAAAGAGCCTTGACAGCTTTGAGTAGAAGATGACTAAAATGAGAGGGGTGCTGAATCCTTCAGAACTACTCCTGCATGGGGCTTGTGGTGAGCTGGCATACTCGTCGGCCAGCACACTAATCCCTAGGCTGCATTAAGGCATCCATTACTGACTGCTCTGAGATGAGACAGTCATCCTGTGCAGGAAGAAGCCTTAAAATGCAGCTGAAAGACTGCCTGAGGAGACATAAGCGCGCTCTAAGGCTAATGACCATGACTGGCTTTTGATAGCTCATCCAGAAGTGGAAAATGGGGTGTACTTTGCAGAGATACGCCCTACATAGAAGGAGGTTGGGTTTCCCAGCCTGGGCGTATGCCAAAAAGGAAGCAAGGCTGTGAGGAAGGTAGGTTCATGTTCAGACGTAAAGGGATGGGTAGGCTGCTGTGTGCAGGAAAGGAGGCCGGAGTAGGAGCAGGCACAGGCAGGTGTCTGCCTGGCTTGAAATGCTGAGAAGACCACTGACTGAAGGAGTTGTGTCAGATGAGGAGAGCCTCTGGCCAGAACAGGCAAACAATGAGGAATTCAGGTGATCTGAGGAACTGGCTCTGTGGCCTGCAGCCACCCACTTGCTGAGAGGTGGGGCACAGAGAGATGCTGTCCAGAGACCTCCTGCTCAAGCTGGGACGAGATTTGATGCAGATGTGCTTGGCTGATCCGTATGTGGGAATCAGCAGTTTCAGTCCATGGGTGACATTCTGGTGTCTGAGGTAGAAGACTGCAAATCAGACTGTACTTGGTGGAAATGGTGAACCCTGAGCACCTTGCTGTTATTTGATGCCTTAATCCATTTACATAGCTGTACACTGAATGTGCTAATCAACTCACAGCAGAAGAGCTGATAAAAAAGGGGGTTTCTTAATTCAGAGCTGATAAAAACTGTAATTTTATCTATTTATTTCTTTAATATGGATTTTATCCAGTTACAAGACAAGCTATCCTTTATGAATCTCGTAATTTATGAGGCCACATGCCAGTTTTGGCTGCTGTGAGTTTTGAGTCACAGCCACGGGTATTCCTCCGGCAATAAATAATACATTTTTATTTCCAGTTGTATCTAATCAAGGTTACAGAAAACTTACCTGTAGCCCAGCAAAAAGTGTTTGCAACAATCATCTCACAAAAGCAACTCTGCAACAGCAGCAGCCAGAACCCTGTCCTCTAGGGTCTGCTTCTCTCTTTGAGGGTAATACATGGTAAAGACAATCTGCAAGAAGAAAACACTGAACTCTACTGTTCACTCAATTACATTTCAAGGTTATGTCAAGAAAATACTGGATTGAAGCAATTAGCAATGTTCCTGCTTTCTCCATGTTCTGCTATGTTTTTGTTTACTTTATTTCATCCAATGGTTTTATGGCAGCCAACCAAAAGCTGGCATTGTCTCCTAGTTGTATCAGAAAGGAATGCTTTGCAATCCACTGTGAATAAATAGGATTTTGTTGGTGAGTTTTAAAATAATCACTGACCTGCTGGTATTTAGCCTAAAAATTTTACATAGCAAATAAAAGCAATGAAAATGAATCTTTAAAACCTGTATTAAAAGTGTAATATTGAACTTTAAACAGATGATGGTCATTGAATGATCAGTCATGACTTTTGAATCTCCTTGCTTTGTGGGGGAAGGAGGAGAAAGTCTGTAACAGGCTATGTTTCTCATTACCTATGAGAGTAGATTACTCCACAGCTTCATTGCAAAATGTTTTGCATCCTGACCACAGCTACTGGCTGTTGGGACAAAGTTTTTGCTTGTTTTTTCATTTGGTTGGTTTTTGCTTGTTTTGGGGGGTTTGGTTGGTTGGTTGGTTGATTTTAGTATTGTGAAACAATCTGGGGAGACCTGGAGCTCTTCCACTATACAAGGCAGGAGTTAGCCACTGCAATACTGCAGCACATAAAGCATCAGCCGTTTCTTATCATGTTGTTAAGGCCCTATGGGGGACTGGTGGAGCTTCTACATTGTTTTTCTTCCCTTTTGTTGCAGTTTCTCACATTTTCATCAGCCCTGGTGTTTCTGAGGTGGTGGATGAAGGCTTATGTTTAAAAGAATTTGAAAAGAAGATTGATGTTCCAGACTCCTATTATGGACCACGACTGTCATTCCCCCTTACTGTTGAAGATGCCAATGCTCTTCTTCATGCTTTCAGGAATGAGCAGGTATGTTGCAACTAGTTTGATTTCTTTTTACTCATTTTACATCTCTGTCAAGTCATAGCTCCACAATCGGTTGAATCCAATGTAAGGCTAAACTGGTGCCCAAGGAGATATTTCACCCTTCCTTTCCATCCCATTACCCTTTCCTGCAAGCCCCATGTGATCATTCAGGTACATGGTGAGCTGTTTTGGGAAACTGCTCTGTCTGAAAGCTAACACAACAAATTCAAAAGCAGTCAGTTCTCAACCAGACCAGTTCCCAGATTTGATTTGCTACTTGGCTGTATGACCACCACAGCCAGTGCTGGGGAGGGGGCAGGGACTAGTGGGGACCTCCTCTTCTAGCATCGAGATTACAGTGATCATGAAATGGGAACCCTTAGCAGCTGCAAAGCGAGAGTGATCACTGAGGGTGCGGAAGGTGTCCTAACCTAGAAACCAGTTATTGTCTTTTTTTGTGTTAGAAGTACTCCTTGTGTGATCCTCTTCTTTTGTCCCCCACCCCATTCTTTTTAGAGGAATTGAGGTGTAAGGGTTAATCACCTCGTTCCGGTGTGCAGGACTCCACCATAATGGAAGAGTGAATATAAAGCATGGCTAATGTAGTGGAACAGAGTGATAGCACAACTCTCAGGAGATTACTGACTGCAGCTGCTAAGGTGCTGAGAAGGCTGTTGCTGATTCTGTATGTTCCTGAGCAAGCCCCTTTGCTGCCCTCATAGAACATGAGGGTGGGCAGGGAGGCATTACACGGCACAGCTTTCTTTTGAACTTGTGGTCATTTGTGCTTAACAATATTAATTTACTAAATAATGGTGGGGTTTTTTTCTGTAATTTTCTGCAGACACTGATCTTAAAAGTAGCAAAATACAAAGTGCATGATAAATGAGCCCACCTAGAGTTCACCTTACTGTCAGCTTTCTCTTCTCTTACTATGGCTGGCATTTCATTAAGGAAATGATTATATGTAATTGGCCTTTTTTGTTTGCTTTAAAAACATGAATCTTGAAAAGTCAGTCTATAGCTCGTTTATCTCTTCTACCAAACTTCCTCAGAGCTGTGTTTGAATTAAAAGCCTTAAAAATCACTGACTGACAAAATTAATTTTCATAAAAAACATTAGCAGAGAAGACCAGAAACTTCAGTGTTGTATTGTCATAATAACATCTTCACAGTGAACAGGAAGATAACTCTTACCTAGGCAACCCTTGCTGGAGTTTCCCTCTCATTATTTTTGCAATTTGCTGAAATACCATGTATGGCCTTTGGGATTTTTTGGGTTGGTTTGTGGTTTGTTTTATTTACTTGCAGCTAGAACTGCATCCTTTTTTTTTTTTTCAGTTACTTTGAATAGATGACGTTATGCGATGATTCTGAGTGCTGTATAACTCAGTCTCTTATCCTTTCTGTAGATGAGAAGAGTAGAAACAGTATGCTATAAATAAAATGGGAAAATACATAAAACAAGTTCGTTAAGGGCTCTATATCCATTCACCAGGAAGCAAGTGCAAAGCTATGAACACTCCTAATTCCCAACACTAAACCATACAGCCTGTAGTCATGTCTGGAGGTCTGTAGCATAAACAATCTTGGCAATACATGTCTGATGCTAATAAAGCAGACGGGCATATTGCTAATAAGTCTTCCTTTTCTGCCTGTATTTTTTTCTCACAGCTGCTTCATGCCCGCTATGTACTGCAGCTACTGTGTGAAACTAGGAGGGTTCTCAAGGAGATGCCAAATATCACCCATCTTTCAACTTCCTACTCCAAGGAGATAACTGTCTGTGGTAAGGTGCCAGAGAAGATAACTGCTTTGGGATATGGATTGTATGTGGTTAGAGAATGATACGGACATTTCCAAATGTTGCCGTTGCAAGAAAGTTCTCGATGCTTCCCCCCTCCCCACCCCCCAATGCATAAATTGGAAGAAACAAACAAAAAGGTTCCTGAATCACAGTAAGTATGTTTTAAGGAAGTCCCTCACCTCCTCTTTCCTTTTCTCATTAAAGACTTCTGAATGAGTCAGTATTAATTCACCTAACACTGCAGTGTAGCTTAAATATTCCTGCACTTCCATCTCTAAAATGCCACCGAGTATTTTGATCGCTGGCTGCAAGTCTCACTGCTTTCTCTTCTTACTGGGAAAAAGACTCTACCATTGTCATTTACTCAGTAATGATTTTAATGAGGGCTTAATAGGGGTGGCAAAAAAGACCTTTCATTGACAGCATGACTATCTAGGATAAATTGAAATTATAATAAACCCTAATTTCTGAAGGTACCCATGAGGATGGATAAGCCTTTATATAACCAACAAATTAGTCTCACAGAATGATATGATGTGTCACAAGGTAAAGAAATAAGAGCTCATTGCCTGTTTATTTTGTTATGCTTTTGTCAGTTATGGATAAAGAGATGCAGTATCCTGACTTGCCACAGAACAAAGTAGCTGCAAAACAGAACAGTAATGGCGACATTAAGTCTTGAGAGCTAGCAGTGTGTGCTGTGTGTAACGGTAAAGTGGTAAAAGGAAGGGTACTATGACACATGCAAAACAAATAATGTTTTTTAAGATGTGGTTATGCATCTACTTTGATTGCCAGGAAAGGGTTTGTTTAAATGAGGTTTTGTATAAACAATAATTTGTTAACCAAACCAATAAAACCTCTCGCCAAACCAAGGAAACACAGAATCATACTTGTTCGCTACACAGCATGTTGTTGCTGAGCAAAATGTACGTCCTCATGTTTGTATTGCATTGGCACTATGTTAGCAGCATCTGAACGGGTCCCTTTCCTGCCATTGAAACAAATAGCTTTTGTAACCAGAAAGATCCTCTGCAGAAGATGAAAGACTAATTTTTAGACATAATTGGTCCAAAATGTTGATTTCTTTAAAATAAGTTATCCCTCTCCCCATCTTCTTTTAATTTCAAATTAATAATGCAGATTAAATATGCACCTGAAATGTTTGCATCCACATATGTGATGAAAATCTATCATAGCTTGAAAGATTCCTTAGAGTGAATTCAGCAGGCTCACAATTAATAAAAAGTTGCACAGAAAACATGTAGACGGGGTAAAAATGTGACTTCTTTTTTCCTACTGATTGCTGGTGAAAGCATATCATCACAAGATAAGTTTTGAAACCGTTCTATGGCTTTGTGTTGGTAAGTCACAGATGTGAGAAGGTTGGTTCTGTGAGTATGAAATTCAGTCATATGCAGAGGGGAGCTATGCTGCAGTGATCCTTTGTGTTGGGGTGAAATCCCCCTGCCTGTTCCAAAATAAACTGCTTGGAAAGGGCCAAATCTGTCATTCCTGTGGCCTTAGCATGGAGGCATACAAGCATGGACAGTTCTTGACATTCTCCTTCAAATCCTGCCTGTAGTAATCAAAACCTCACCCTGAATCAGACAGATGTTCAATTGTGCTGTATATAGGGGGCTACTTACAAATTTATACCTGTTAGTATGTAGGAGTCTACCATATTAGTGACATTTTCCATTTTTCAGGTTCATAATATGTTTGTTCATCTTACTCCCATTTCCCTGAGAGAACCTTTGGTGTGTGACTGGTCTGATCTTCAGATCCAGCTGGAAAGACAAAAACTTTATGCAAGACAATTGTATACTCTCTTAAGTATTTAATTGCCAGATTTTACAAGCAGCTTCAGCATGTACCTTAATATGAAGCTAATCCTAATACAAGGCAAATTACTAAGGAAAACATGGGGAAAAACTTGTTAGCACTAACTAATTCCTGGTTTATAATCCATTTTTTTCCTCCTCTGTGAGGGGGGAGAAGAAAAAAAAATCATGTTTTTGTTTCCTGTAGGAGATTTGCATGGAAACCTGGATGATCTTTTGCTGATATTCTATAAGGTAAGTAGGTAGTCTGTTAGGTAGCATTTTCACTTCACAACTTGTTAAGAACATGTATTTGTGTCTGATAGATTTATAACTCTTAGAACTGTACATGTGGTGTGCAGGTACCACACACACAAAGCCTGGAACAATTTGAACGGTGTCTTTGTCATAGCTTTTCCTCTCCCTACCTTCCTGCTCACTGTGAAGGAGGACATCCAGGAGATCTTTCTCTTCCTAAATATTGAACTGGAGCATGAACCAAAACTTAAGAGGGCTCCTTACAATGTCTCCAAACTCCTGCCACTGTTTTATATTCCATGTTGACTAAAGTCTTCTGAAATCAAGAGCTAACTTAGTTCCTTTTGTAACACTGCACCATGGCTAATTTTGGCCCTCCAGAAAAAATGCAGAAATTTTCATATAGGCCTTCCACTGATACCTGCAAAGTGTTTTTTAATATTATTTGTTTACAGGAAACAAAGAAGCATGCTATCTGTTTAAAAGCTCTTTAAATCTTGGAAGCAATCATGTAGTCTGCACAAAATGGAAATACCTTGGGCACCCTTTACATATCCTTGAAGATCTGATCACTTTTTAATGTTAAAAAAGCACAGCTCTGTTTTACTGATGTGAAAAAAATTAAGCTCCAGGCTGTCTTTTCCACAATTGTATATTTAACTGAAGATGTGGGAAATTTCCTGTATTTAGTTCCACATTTATCTTTAGCATGAATCACCACCTTTCATTTAGCAGATACTCTCATTGATTTGAGCTTTCCAAGGGAAAGGGTTTGTGTCTGATCCTTTTGCATTCATCTGCGCTGAATGGAGACTGAAGTGAGCTAAACCAGGTGTTTAAATGATGCAGTTCCCCCCCTGCTTCCAACTTTATTACACTTTATCTGACACTTGCTGAATGGAAATTTGGTGGTTTTGCCCAAGTGCATACCTGAAGCCTGCTGTAGTATAATCAATCAGATCTTTTACAGAGTTCTGCGTTTCTTACTAATCAATCAATTACGTTTAGCTGGTCCTTCACTTGCAGTTTTTTAGCTGCTATTTTAATTAGACAATCTTCCTTTTTGAAACTAGAATAAGAATGATACAGATTGGATTCATACCCAGGACCTGGAACGGGAAAATAACTATTTTGAAGATAAATGCTCAGATAGTTATATTTACATCTGCAATCAGCCTGAATTTTACTCCTTTGGCATAAACAGAAGATGATTCTTTTCCCCCTCTCTAATGGATGTTACAAAGAGAAAAAAAACTCTTAAGCAAGGACTAAATCCTGACTTCAGTAAATTCAGAGCCAAAACTACCACTGACTTTGGGGACTAGAGTTTACCCCCAGTCGTTTTCTGTTAAGCTTCTAGGAGAGACCTTCCACCAAACCAAATAAAATTGACAAATATTTTGTCATTTCAAAGTGATTAGAAAATAGAGAGCACATGGTAGAACTGCTTAGTTATTTAAAAGCAAATTAAATGACAAAGTATTTTCTGTCCCCTCTGAGCAGCGTACTCAGCTAAGCAGCAAACCCAGTCAGCCTGTGGGATCCATTTTTTCTGCTTCCCTAACTGTGTTTCATTTGGAAGGGATTTCTTCCTCCCAAGTTGGTATGAACCACCCGTAACCTTAAACAAGAGGGTGCAATCTTAAACAATGCCATGAGGAGTGCAGTGATGTCAGGTCTGCGCAGAGCCATGCAGAGCTGAAACAGCTGCTGAAGCATTTTGGAGGCCTGCATGCAGACCAGGCACCTTGAGCGTGGAGCTCTGTCCAGGGAGCTTTTATCACAGCACTTTTACAAACTGCCAACAGCAAAAACACAGAAGATAGCAATCTACAGCTTACTGATACAATGCTGGTTGTAATAGTGTGTATAATTCTTAAACCTGGTTTTGGTGAGGCTAAGGTAATTACTTTTTTCTCTATAGCCAGTTTGTAAGGTTCTTTCAGTCCCTGCCTTAATCTCCTTTAAATTACAGCATTTCCTGAAATTCCTTGAAACTCTTGAATTTTAAATTACATGTTGCTAAGTTAGATTGTTGAATGGATGGTATGGACAGAAATAGCCTGAAACTGTAGAAAATGCAAACGACAAACGGAAGTTAATTAATCACTAACCCAGCAGATAGAGTAATGATGCCCAGCGGCGAGTTGCTAATCATTACAGGGCCTTGTTCACCTCTTTGACATGCCAGAGGCTGCAATGGTCTTTAATTTAGTTTTGTTCTTATTGTTGGTCGAAACCACAGAAAAGGAAATAAAAACTTTGCATGAATGTGGAACAAAACTAAAACGTCACATTGAAGTTGGAAGTCCAAAACAAACTCTCGTTTAAAACTAAGAGTTGTCGGGAAGCTTTGCCAAAAGAATGATAGAGTCTGGAGAGTGCTTCAGTAGATCTGTCTTTCCATAAGGACTGCAGTTACTGTGGGTTTAAGGCTAAGCTTTTATTAATTTATCTTTCCAGGAGCTGCTGCGTCTCTCCTGTCTGTTCTGCTCCTGAACTCTGTCCTTTCTTTTTTAAAACCACTACAACCCACTGCATTAGCAGTCTCATAAATTGCCACTCTTGTGAGCACAGAGCATCCACAGGCCTCTTCTAAGTTAACTTGGAGAGAGCTGGGGAGAGGCTATGGCAAAACCCAAGCAAACTGTATTTACAGCAGTCAGGATTGTGCCCCTGTGGGAATCAAGAGACCAGGATTCACTACTGCATCCTGACATAACAGCACAGGACACTGATTGGGACAAAAAAGATATTTCCTAATGGGTTCAAATTAAATGTTTAATTGAGTCCCTGGGCAAATCCTGTATCCTGCCATAAACCTTACTAAGGCAACACACGAGGGAATGCCATAGGAACTTAGGAAATGCTGGACACTGACACAGTAGTGGAATGGAAGTGGGAATCCATCAGGAAGTGAGATGTCTTGCAGTACTGCCAAATCTGTTAAGAGTGGCTTCCACAGTTGTGATGTGATTTTATAGATGTTCTATTGATAATTCTTGTGCATGCCAGTTGTGAAAACAGAGGTTTCCTTTTTCTGGCAAGTCAAAATTGAAATAATATTTCTGATACTTATGATTAGAAATGATGAAGCTCCATGTAGTTGCTGCTATACTTTCTTTAAGCTGATGGCACCCATTGACATGTTGATAACATAGTATGAATTCACAATACTAGCTTTTGATAAGTCACAATTCATAATAAAGCATTGCTCTGTATCTTCAGAAAAAAATAAGGTAAGAAATACCTGTATGTACAGCCTTTCAGGTTTGTGAGTGTTCAAGTATATCTTTGCCTTCGAGGAGGGCAAAGTGCAATGTGAGTAAAATTCAAGTAGAGCTTTCAGGACTAAAGCAACAGTAATCAAGTTCTTCAGAGTTCTGTATTAAGATTTGATTAAGTATTGGACTTAATAATAACTAAGATAAGGACTGTATTAAGTCCTCTGGACTATAGTTCTCAGGAGTTTTGGCAGCATACACTGCAAACAATGTAAATATATGAAATCCATTTTCTTACTGTGTAAGGAAGCATAAGGACCTTCAGACTTGTGTCAGAAGATAATTTTTCATGGATTTCTTGTCTTTCATTCAAAATGAATGACTCCCTTTTGCAAGTGCATAACTTCCTGGCAGCAGTTGCGTTGACAGAAAAGTATATTTTGCTACAAGAATAATGTTCCTTTTGGTCCCTTTCAATTTAATTTAATAGGTAGAGGAAAGGATTAGAGACGGCATCATAAGAACAGCTAGAGAGATCATCTCTTCTCTGATGGCTCATACAGGTTGTCTGATATGGAGGGTTTTGTTCTAAGCAGTGGAAATAAAGAAATGCTGCATTTTAGATCTCTGTGTTATGTAGTTTTTTTGCAGATTTTCTAGCAATGTGATCTCATTTAAATACTATTCCCTTTATTACAGTAGCATAGCAGCATCTCTAAATGTCCTTGTTTTTGTTTCCTTCTGCAGAATGGTCTGCCTTCAGAACAAAACCCTTATGTCTTTAATGGTGATTTTGTTGACAGAGGGAAAAATTCTATGGAAATACTTCTAATCCTCTTTGCATTTCTTCTTATCTACCCCAATGATTTACACTTGAATAGAGGAAACCATGAAGACTACATTATGAACCTGAGGTAGATTTTAGGGGGTGGGAGGGGAGTATCTGGCCTTTCTCTAGAAATGTTGCAGTTTTTGAATGCTACTTTAGCCACTATGACACCCTAAAACAGAAATAATGTTTTACCAGGTATTCAGGTGTAACTTTGCATCTTCAAGAGGTGTGAGAGGGGCAAAGAACATCCTCATTACACACAGAGACTTAAACGGGAGTCATGTCTTATCTCTGACCTAATCACAATGCATTGAAGTCAATGGGCTCAGTGCAGCTTCCAGAGTATCAAATTTGGGGAAGGGGGACAGATGGAGGGATGATATCTTAGTTAAAGCATTGGCTTTTTCCATAGCATAGCAAAAGACATAGTAGTATGCAATATAATGGAACCAGTAAACAAGGAGCTGATATTTCACTTAACTTTAGACCAAGATGTCACTTCCCAAAGACAAGAGGCAGGTAAATATCTTAGTTTCTACACAGTGGAGATCCATTAGCTGCAAGGTGAGTCTGCCCTGTTGCAGGAACAGCTGAGGCCCTGTTTTCTAATCCAGACATTTGTAGTCAGCTGTAAAGCGCTGCCAAGGGAGTGAGCACAGCCAGTGTCTCTGGCTGTAGTGAAAGTGTGACAAAGACAAAATCAGCTCACAGACGTGAGAACTCCTCACAATTCCAAGCCGCATCAGTAAGTCCCTGGGTGACTGGCTGGTGGGTAACTTGTTTTACCCCTTCTGTCATTTGATGTGTGCACACAGGATATATTGCTGTTTTAACACAGGCATAAACCTGGGTTAGAGGCCCATGTTCAAATCCTATTAATGATCTATGTAAGAGAATCACTTTTGTATGATACTTCCTTTTTCAACGCTTAATTTAAAAAAAAAAAACCAAACACAATGTAAACCAAGATCAGTTACTTTATCTACAAGGTAGGAAAATTCCCACCCAAAATAGTGGAAAATATTAACTAAGTCTGTGGTGGAACGGAGTGCAAAGATGCATTCCTGTGTATGGCTCTTTGCTGGGCATTTTGATTAGCAGTGCTGCACGTTGGTAAATTTGAAAACTGAGAGAGGGTGCTATGAAAATGCCCCTTGCACCAAGGATATGTTGGTGTTAAAAGCATGAGGTATCAAAATCCTTGTCCCTTTGGGGGAACAGTCATGATAGATGACATCGTCTAATAAAGTTGAGTGATTTAGGATGAAAACTCTGGCTAGGTTTTGTGGGAATTTTTGCCCATCATCATTTAGGTTCCTTTTAAATTTCTCTCTGATATTTAAAAGGTAAAACTGCTGAACTATTTCATTTAGATGGGAAAAAGGCCACTTAATAATTCTTGGTCTGGATTCTGTTCCTGATCTCTTGTATGTACAAGAAGTCGGTTTAACTCAATTCTTGAGACAGAGCACAAGGAAACATTTAAACTGAGGTGGGACAGAATGGCAGGAGAAAAGAGGGCTAGAAAACTCCTGGCAAACACTACAGCACAGAAAATCATGCAGAAGCAGTGTGCTGAAAACCAGTTCATGATACTGTCCTATTTTCAGATACGGCTTCACAAAAGAAGTTTCGAAGAAGTACAAGGTAAGATTCCTCCTCCTTCCCCTGTATTTTCTTTGTAGTCTTGCACATGTTAAATGAAACCTGTGTAAAAAAGGAAACTTCCAACCAGTTTATTTAGGTGTAGTACAGAATGACTTTAATAATATAGTTGAAATTATTTTGGGTTATTAGTGGAATAACTGACAGAACAATTTTAAGTGTGAGCCTTTTATGCTCAGAAATATATGGGATGAAATAAATAACATCCATAAGACCACTCAAGAATGCAAAAAGATGTGAACGTGAAAGAAAAACGAAATGCTGCAGAGACAATCAAATGGCCCTAAAGTAAATGTCAGAATATGTTTGTCAGTGTTGTAGTTTGGGGTGTCACCTGCACAGAACTATTCGTACAGACTGTGGCAGACACTTCAAAATCTTGACCTTGGAAGCAACCGAATCTGCCAGAAGTAGGTGCTAATGTCATAGTATGTTTTACAGGACCATGGGAAACAGATTTTGTGTCTTCTGCGAGACATCTTTAGCTGGCTTCCCCTTGCCACTATAATTGATAGCAAAGTTCTTATCCTACACGGAGGGATTTCGGACACCACAGATTTAGATTTCCTGAATGCACTTGAGAGAAATAAGGTAAGAGATCATATTCATGTGGGGGCGATTTTGTTTTCTTCAGAAAATTTAGCAGTACAAATGCTAAGATCAAGTTGTTTGCATTAGGAAAGGAAATGACTGCTGTATAAGGCATGTAAGGAAGAGTCTTCTTTTTCTTCAAAATCAGTGTTTAGAAAGGAAGGTTTCAGTAGGTGTTGGGAGCCAATTGTTTGGCTGCTGTAAAATAACCTGGGTCTTTTGACTTAAAAATAGCTAAGAACACTTTAGATACCTCCTTCCTGCAGTGATGATGCATTAGACAGTATGAAAAGTACTTAATTCACAGGCATTTCTAAACACATTAGAAATCAGTCTAGCTACATCTTTCTAGCACTGCCTTTTGTCCCAGGGCTGTGCTTCTGCCATCTGTTGTGTGTGGGAAGCTCTCCACATGTGAGGTGCTCCCTTGAGCATGCTGAGCTTTGCACATGTGGGAGAGCCTTTCTAGCAGGATCAAACTTCAAGACCTGGCCTTGAGAAAACAAACTACTACTTTTCAGGGATTTAGAAGACAGAAACATTCATTTTTTCCTAAAATGGTGAGCAAACACAGCTATTTCAAATCAGTGGAAAACGGTGTGGGATTTGGTCTTGCTTTGGACAACTAAATTGAGATGTCTGCTTGTGATTGGGGTGCTTAGGCTCCTTATAATCAATGGAGATCTGGTGGAGATCCAGGTCTTATCATTCCTCAGGCATAGGTCTCTAGTGCTGTTCATGGGAGCACCCCGTAGCACCTCTGGCCTCCGCCTGCCTCTGGAGAAAGTCTTCTTCACAGGTCTCCTCCACTGGTCTCCTTGAGGTCTGATTTGTATCTGCCCAGCTCATGCTAATTCACAGACATGGCAGAGCATCCCAGATGGCACGAGATACCTATGTTTAAGCAGCCTTGTGTACCTTGTCATTAGGGTCTGTGGAATCTAGAGTTATTTCTCCCATCCTCATGTTTTCTAATGCAGAAATAAATGCTTTACAGGACAGTCTGGTGTATCTCTCTTTCTTAAAGATGTGAAAAAGGGCAATGAATACTTCTGGTCATAGAATCCCACGATTGGAAGGGCCCTCTGGAGATCACCCAGTCCAACCCCCCTGCCAAAGCAGGGTCACCTACACCAAGTTGCACAGGGTCACGTCCAGGCAGGTTTTGAATATCTCCAGAGAAGGAGACCCCACAGCCTCTCTGGGCAGCCTGTGCCAGGGCTCTGCCACCCTCAAAATACAGAAGTTCTTCCTCATCTTCAGGTGGAACTGCCTGAGTTTCCGTTTGTGCCCATCGCCCCTTAACCTGTTGCTGGGCGACACTGAAAGTCGTGGTCATCAGTGTCTAAGCTTCGTTGGCTGTACCACTGTACAGTAAAATTGGGTGCCTAACTCCAGCTGTAGGTGTCTTAACTGTGAGCTGAGTTGTGCCCACGCTTTCACCAAGGCTAGGCTCAGTGTGTTACTGATGCAGTATCTGTGAAATGCAGAATTAGCAGGTCAAAGTGGCTGTCACAGGAGAGCCTTGCTAATGAGACATGTGTGGGCCACAACTCAGGGCGAGATCACTGAAGACCCACTGATATATTTTAATTGGTACAACTGGCAACTGACAGGTCTCAAATACCGGTGAGTACACTGGGGAATAACCCAGTGTGTTGCATTTTGTTCTGCATCAGTCCTTTTCTTTGTTAAAGAGTAGAATTTGGGGCGGGGGAGTGTTGGGGTTGGTTTTTTTTTTTTTTTTTTGTTCTGGAAATGAGCTAATACAAGAAAATTTCAAATGAGAAAGAAGATACTCCCTGGAGAAGAGTCTGTGTTAATGGGCATTCATAGAGCCATAGCACACAGCTCCAAAAAAGCAAATGCCCATGCATATTGGAGGAGCCAATGCCCATGCATATTAATTTAACAATAAAAGGACCTGATGTAATACTTCAATTTCACTGTTATCCTCTGAATATTCCATTTATTTTAGCCAAATTAACCTAGCAGCATGCTACTGTATCAGAACAGTAGTGAATGCAGTTTCATCTTCAGTACAGTATACCTTTTCAGTTTCCAGTGAATCTGGGCACTTCAGTGTCATCCCTGAGCCCAGACCATACTTGCTGTATAGCAAGACCTTATGATTGACTTGGCTTGGAATGAGTCTGTGTGTCTGGATAAGAATATGAGAGCAGCTCTGAAGAAGCTGGTCACTGATAGAAGGAAAGCGAAGTTTCTGCAAGTGCCAAACATAGAATCATAGAATAGGATCATAGAATCATTTGGGCTGGAAGGGACCTGTGAGTTCAGGACATTATGAGAGTTCAGTATTGAATACAGGAAACAGGAACTGATGTGCCTTTCTGCTGCCATCTCTGTATCATCTTCATATCTTGGTAACCCTTTCAATTTTGTTTGTTTGTTTGTTTTTAAGTTGAAATCTTTGATGCGGCCACCAAAGACAGTGAGAGACAGACAGGACCAAGTGAAGGAGAGAATTCCTGCAACCAGACCCCATAAATGCACTGCCAACCAGAATGTTGCTGGGAAAACACAACACATCTCTTCATCTGGCTCCACTGAGCCTTCAGGCTCAAATTTTCCTCCAGACCCTGCACTGAAGGAATGGAAACAAGTAGGTGAAACCAAAGACAGGCTGATACTGAACCCCTCCTGCACAAAACCAGCAAGTGCTCTGTTCAGGCAGTGTGTTTGAGTCCAAGAGAACTGTCTCTTAATAAGAAACCCATCATTCTTGGGAGTGTACTAGCCAACTGTTAGTTATTTAGATGTTTTTTGTAGACCTAGTAATAAAGGTTTGTGATTTTTATACCTTACAGGTACAATTTACCCAGTGTTTTATTTTCTTAGCCCTTAGGAGGAGGAAACTGCTCTGTATGAAACGTGTTGGCACGCCCTCATGTGGTTGGATCTGTTGGTACATACGTGGTTGTCAGTCTGTATAGGTCAGACTTTGCAATTGTTGGAGATAGTGAGCACCTTTTTTCGGCTGTGGTTTTGGCAGCTGAATGCTGATATTGTCCAAAAAAACCCAACTCCTGAGATCTGCAGGGTGATTACTCAAGAGTGGGAAATTTTTGTCCTCTGGCTGTTCATTTCCACTTGAATGTTAGAGGCAATGTGGAGCTCTTGTCATACTGTAATTTAATAAATTGTGGCAATTTGAAAAGCTTAATTTGCACAGCAATTTAGAAGCTCAAGATTGAGTTTTATATAAGTTTAGTTTTCTGAGCTTCTCTTCAGACAACTGCTTTAAGGGGCAGACAGTTTTCTGTCTCTGAAAATGTGGTTTCCCAAGATACTTATCTGACCTATAAACTAACATAATGGGCACAAGCAATCCCCCCCAAATCTGACACTCCCCCAGCTAACCAAGCATCCACTGAGCCATGCTTACAAACGTGAACTGGAATGTGTTAGTGTAAACCTTGTCCAGTGGGGTTTAAACAAACACATTTTGCCTAATGTTTGCTACTGATTAGAATTACTAGGTTAGGTGACTTTAAACCATGGTAATTCAGCCCCATGTCTGAATCCTGCTAAAATGATAACATGCAAAATCTTCTTTTGAAACATGAGCTCACCAAAGAGAATAAAGCCAAAGGCAACTCTTGTCATGTTTAGAGCAGGCACTCCCAAGCTTAGTTTAGGTAAAACCACTGATCCATGTGGTCAGGTCTGTGATGGGAAACAGAAAATGCCTCTCACACCTACATGCGAAGAAGGCAGCTTTTGCTCTCTTTGAAAGAGCCCAGGTACCGTTGTTAGCTCAGATGTGTTTTCTCGCTATACTGTGGGACTTTGAGACTTTTGCTATGGTCAGTGCTTTAGACAGCCATAGCCTGTCAGGCCTCACCTACTATCAGTCCTCACTTGCTTGGCTTTGCTGTTTATAGATCCTTGATATTCTGTGGAGTGATCCAAGAAGCCAAAATGGCTGTACACCAAACAAGTGTCGAGGAGGAGGTTGTTACTTTGGTCCCGATGTCACTGCCAAGCTGTTTGAAAGGTATAATCTGAAGATGCTCATCAGGTCTCATGAATTTAAGCCAGAAGGTTATGAGATCAGTCACGATGGGAAGGTAAGATGCTTCTAGGTAAAGCAGAATTCTCTGTGAATGTCACAGGCACATCCACAGTAGACTTGTCTGCAAAGTTAATTAAAAAAATGAGTCACTTCTTTAAAACGAGTTTGGGGCAATTGTGTGCTAGATAGATGTTAGAACAAATTACAGAGTTCTGACAAACAAAACTCTTTACAGCTTCAGGGACTGGCTTATTACTCCTGTGAAAACAAATGAACATCAACAAAATCCCTGAGGAGACTTATGTGTAAATACAGTGCAAGAGATGCTCTAAGGGTCTAGAAGCCTTTTAACTTAATAATTTCTCTTCTGACCCTGCTTTCTGACTTGCTGTATCAGGAGGCCAGCAAGAATCCTGAAAACCAGGTCTATCTTAGAAAGAGTTTCTGTTAAACAGTGTGTTATATCACACTGCCCTCTGAACCAAAGTTTTCCTATGACAGGCCTGGAGCTCCGACTCAAAAAGAGCGAGTGATTTGGTGAACAACATTGTTGTTGATCTCTGGTTTTATATGTAGCTGCTTAATTTTGTAACCTGCATATTTTTCTAAGATCCATTTCAGAAATCAGTCTCAAGAATAGTTGTTCTACCCAATCAAGTTTCTTTGTTTCCTGTGATCAGGTTATCACTATATTTTCTGCCTCTAACTATTATGAAGAGGGGAGCAACCGGGGAGCATACATCAAACTGAATCCTGAACTGATTCCTCGGTTTGTACAGTATCAAGTCAGCAAGTACACACGCAGGCAGAATCTTTGGGAGAGGTAAAGCTGTGTGTTGTATGCAGTAAGTGTGTACTCCCTTGGCGAGTGAGCACCTGCCACAAATCTATAACTTGACTGAATAATTGAATAGGCATCTATTTTCCTTGGTTTTCCTTGTTTTTCTGTTTTACAATTTAAAAATTAATACAGTAGACAAAACATCTTCTAAGTGCTCTAACTTGGTTTCCTGAGAAACTCCCAGAGCTAATTAGACACGGTAAGTGGTTAGAACAGACAATTGTCAGGGACTCCTAAAGGGCCTGCTCCTGTCTGTCAGGTCTGCTTTAAGGCTGCAGCGTTAATCTGGACAAATCCTGTTATGAATTGAGTCCAAAAAGTTTATCATGACAGCTTTGCCATGCCTAGCACTGTGGCCAGATTTACTAAAGCAAAGCAGCTTAGAATTACCTGCATAAACTCGATTATCTCATAAATTCAGATTATTATTATTATGGGGCTTTGTTTTGTTTTGTTGGTTTTGTGGTGTTTTTTTTTTTTTTTCTTTTTCCCCAGTATTGTCTTTTAGGATGAACCTAAACATCCTACATGTTAAAGAATATAAGAATTTGATATTGAATGTTGAAAAGCATAAAATGCTAGAGGATTTAAATCCTTTAATAATCTGCTCTGCATTTTTTTCCTCTTAGGGTGGGTACAATTGAATCCTCTGCCTTAAAGTCCTTACGAGAGAAGATTTATGCTCACAGGGCTGAACTCACTAGTGCTTTT